AAGTTCTGAAACTAGAAAATGTGATTTTATAATCATTCAACAAGACTTTCTTGAAACATTTTGTGGCATTTCTCTTACATTAAACAACTTACATTCAGTGATTTTAATCAACTTACCAGACTTTCAAAGGTGACAGCGATGAGTCAGGTTGATTTTCAGTGTAAACGTAAAAAGACAAAATGTTTTGAGGTTGTTTTAAAACGTTGTTCTGAGGTTGTATTTTGAGGTTATCCAGCCAGCAGAGTTGGTTGAAATGAAGTAAATGTTGAAGCAGAGGTCTTAAGAGAACTCTCCTCATTGTGACGGAGTTCTGCTCCATCGTTGTGACGTCACAGAAAAGAACAGAACCTTCAGCAGCTGATAGAACTGTTTTATTTTGAAATTAAAATAGGCCTATGTGATATATTTAAAAAAAATAAAAACATACATACATTACATGTAAGTGATTTTAAACAGCTTCATTTCCTGTTTAATGGGATAAAAAAACAATCTCCAATGCCAACATAAGATCTTAAAGGAAACAAACCATGCTGCAAAATTACAGCCAATTAAGAAATATGAAAGCTGCTTCACTTCTGTGTTGTGCTGCTAAAAAGAAAGACACCATGCCACCAGGATTTCTTTATGATAGACTATTATCAAATATGATAAACACACAGTGAAACAGAACCTCCTTTTTATTTCAGTGCCCATTCCAGCGTTAGTAAAAATAAACATATAACACAAGTTTTGTGTTTGGTTAGCTAGAGGCAATCGCTCTTACACATTTTCACTCATTTAAATTTTCATTTATTGTCAATTAATGCAAATCAAAAGGCTGTTGACAAGTTTGGACAAATGTTACACATATATCATTGTGGAAAAATTAAAAAAGTCATTCATAATGTCAAATTTAGACGAATATCATACATCTAACATGTCTTTTGATGAATTATTTGCTGGTAGAGTCTGCATTGAAGAAAATTTGCATGTCACAGTGATTTATGAAAACTAAATTGAAAAGTGGTTAAATTGATTGAAATCAGACGTCTAACTTATTTCATTTTTATTTTCATTACAATAACTGCAATTTAATGTGAGGGTTATGCACTGCAGCTGTGGCTCAGTTGGTAGAGTCGGCCAGGTCTCTTAATCAGAAGGTTGGTTCGATCCCCAGCTCCTGCAGCTACATGTCTGATGTGTCCGAGTTGCTCCCGCTGCTTCGTCTGCGATGCTATGAATGAGTATGAATGGATTAGTTACTTCTGACGGTCACTTTACATAGCAACCTCTGCCATCAGCGTGTGAATGTCTGTGAATGTGTAGGTGTGACCTGCGGTGTAAAAGTGCTTTGAGTAGTCAGAAAAGCGCTATACAAGCTCAAGTCCATTAACCATTTACTGACTCCCACTGAAATTATTTTGAGTATTTTTCCGTTGTGAAAGAAACGTGACCCAGTTTCTTATATGAAAGTATTACTCTGCACTATTTTACTTCATTAAAATTCAACTACAACTTTCAGAAAACATTCCTCTTTTTATTTTGTAATTTATTTTTTTCCATGAAATGAAAAGAGAGAGACCCCCCCATCCAAAAGAAATAACACACATAGATAGCAGCACCATTAAAAATAATTAGGCTAATACAAATCCTATTTACACTCTAATGTCATATAATTACACATACAGTCACTCAGTCTAGTTTTCTACACATTTATAAATATTTTTTTTAACGCATTAAGTTACCCACTTCATCTTCAACAGGACTGTAAAATTATCTGAATGCTATGTACCTGGCCAAATCTGTTTGCACTGTATTCACACTTAAGAGGATCATTTTTCAGACAGCAATGTGACTTATTGATAAATGTGGCGGAGGTTGCATCATGAAACCTTTATGACCTGTAACAGTGTCTACCTCAGAACAATATCACCGCCACATGAAAACACGATGAAATATCAAGGTGTTCACATCCCTTCTCCTTATTCACCGCGCTTAAAATTGCTGCATTGTTTAAGCGGGGGCAGCTCGAGTTTCCTGGCATGTTTATAACCCGTATCCACTTTCATGTTGACTTCCTTTTTTTTTCTAATACACGATGAAGACCGAGGACGTGATAGCCCTTTATTCTCAAGTGATAAAGATCCTCTCCGGCCCGGCATGTAGTCCACGGAAAGCCAGTTTAAGGATTAGTATATCTTCCAGCAGAGGAGCGTCATTTTTCATCCAGTGTGTTATCAACCCTTAAAAAAACAGTTTAGCAGAGGAGTGAGTTAGTAACTCTTCCAGTTTGATGTGTTTTGTAAATACGTCCTACTTTGATGGAGTCCCAATTCCCAAGTTTGCATTCTTGACTTGGGTTTCAGTTGCACTTGTCTCCTTTGCCTGGACGGCCCCTCCCAGGCCTTTATCTCTCAGCTTCAGGTCATTCACTGTGTTCTCGTGTATTGTTCCAGAAGAGAAAAAGAGCAGTTAACACAGAGAGATGGCCAAGTGTGAAGTACAGTGAGCCTCCAGAGTTATATGGTAGATGTCAAATTGATCATGAGGGGGGGGTGGAAGGATGGAGGGATAAAAGAAAATGTGGATGTGCAGACAAAGAGACAATAAAAATGATGTGTTATATAGATGCAGTGTTGTACACTCCATGGTACGGCTTGTGTTGATGCTATAAGTGATAGCTTGTGTCTTTGAAGGAGGACTAGTTGTGTTAGTAGGTCAGGAGAGTTCAAGCTTCATAAAAACAATGACCTGGGAACACAAACGTTACGACACTTCTGCAATACGATCGATGTTGGTCAGGCAACATGACAGAGATGGGAAGAAATACCTTTCTAGTATTAATTTATAACCACATATTTCATATTTTCTTTTACTTTTTATTTGTTACAGGTTTTCTTTTAACAGCCTATACTTAATATTAGGTATTAATACTTTTGAAGAGATCTCCTCTACATTTTTGCATGACAAAAACACTCAGTGGAAGAGTCTTAAGTCTACACTTTTTTCACTTTAAAATCAGTAAAGACACGAGTACCTCTACTTTTACCAATCCTTATTTTTCACCCAAGTGTCTGTACTTCCGGAGTCCTAGTTCAGTTAGAGCGAAAGGTTGTGTTCTTGCTTCAATTGTACTTTTGGTCCCCCGTAGTGCATGAAATCCTCTCTTCTCAACATATTTTCTGTCTAACTTCAGTGTTCTACCGAACTAAGATCAAGGCCAAAATGATTATCATTTGGAAGGATGAGGGCCCGAAAAGTTACATGTGATGCCCCATTAAATTATTTTGTACATGGGGAAAATGCAAATTGCTTTTGAAGTCTTTATTGATATTGTTGTGAAGAGATGGCAAAGTCAAGTGACATTCAAATGAATGAAGGCAAAATGAGCATATTTTTTACAACCCAAAATTATATATTCTTTCTGACCTCTCAAATCTAGTGTGTAAAAACACATCCAAAAGGTAACTGAATTCTTGTATTTCGCATTCTTTTAAAGATATTTGAATACAGAAGTGTCATGAAAGTGTATTTTATTCCTGTTGCATTCATAACTGCGCTGTATTTATACCTGAACTGTTTTCTTTTTCTTCCCCTTTTTATCTTTATCTCTGTTGTTTCTAAAAGCCTCCGTGGACAGGTGTCACAAATTAGCATTTTGCTATAAACACTAAGAGCAGTGCATCTGGAACTTGTGCATGGTTAAATGTTACAGCACCAATGTGACTGTATGTCCATGTTAAATAAAGAAACAAATCAATTTAAAGTAAATATGTCTGTGTTATGTCACTTTTTATGACAGCATCATTAAGTAAGACAGATGAGTCAGGTGTGGAGCTGATATAAAAAATAAGAATGTGAAGCAACAGGAAGCATTCCAGGACCCCAAAACCTTTATTTAAAAGCATAAAGTAAACAACTAAACGATAACTAAGACTATTGGGGATCTCAGGGAAAAAGTATTATTAAACCACCAAACAAATTAGACGACTGTGTGAAAACAAACAAAGACAAGACATGTTCAGGGGTCAGAAATAAGAGCAGAGCAGAAACCCAGACTGATCCGATATGGGACCAAAATTCCTTTATGGAGGTTATGCAAATGGCAATGTGTGAGAAAACTGTGTGATTGTGTATGTGGGTTCGTGAGAGAAGGAGAGAGATAGAAGGGACGATGAAAAGGACCTTCTTTTCATCAATGACTTCAGATTAATTCACAGAATTCTCCTCGATCCATCCCGCCCTCCATCCCTCCCTCTTACCTGCCTCAGGCACTTGGTGGGACCGCCTGGCCCCATTTGGGGAATACTGATTGGTTCCCACGCAGGCTGGACTAAAGCTCAAAAGAATCCAGAACACCTTTTGTATTTGGCACCCTTGTATACCAAACCAATTGTAATCCCTCACAGTCAATGTCAAAGATGGGATTGTTAGGAGCTATAGGCTTTTCTTTAGCATTGGTATCTCTAACTCAGGTAAATATGAATATTTATTTTAAAAACCTGTAAAACTCAACAACATGGATACAATTAGGGTTATTTACTGTAATTGATTTAATATTGTTTGTTATTTACAGATATCTACCTGTAATGCAAACGGTAAGTTAAAGAAGAAATTAAGTCTAATTATGATTTTAGACACAAATCTGTCTGGAATTAAAAATATTTATTTTTTAATATAATAACTATTGAAACTCGGGATAGACGTCGTGAAGCTAAATATTAAACTCTAAAACACTTATCACTGCTTTTATTAAAATTAAATTAAATAATGAAAAAAACTGAAACGTTCAATTATGAAGAAAATTTCCTGAATTTCCTGTTTCCGGTTTTAACCTACATCCATCTCTCTCAGGGTGCAACATTTTGTCAGCGCAAGCCGGGAGCTCCTCGTCGATTGTGGTAGAATGGGAAAGATATATAGGGGCAACATACTACTTTTTGGACCTGCGGGTGAAGAACAGCACAGCCTTTGCACCGGTTGTGGTGACGGTGCCAGCGACCTCGACCCGAAGGGTCGTCATGGGTCTGAGACCAGGAACGGAGTACGATGTGGTCCTCAAAGTCTTTCAGTTCTACTATGTGGTGTGTACGGATACAGATGAGGCACGAACAGGTAAAAAGAAGAGCGTCACCTAGAATAGTTGTGATGCATCTCCATGCCATTCGCCTTCGTGGATCAAATGTGAACATGTTTTAAAACATTGATAAAGCTAAAATGATATGTATTACACCATGTTTTTTTTTAAATGGCTGTTATAAAATGAAATTCTAAACGAGTTTTCGAATGGAAATGTATTCATAACATGAGCTGTATTAACTTGTAGTCCATCAAGACTGCGTCTTTACGCACGAAGACGTGCCATTACGCACGAACTAACGCAGCTATGCAGCATCCTTGACGCTTCGTTCTCCCTGCTCTACCCCTCCATAGTACCCGATGCATCGCAGATAGTAGTCTGGCGGGCAATCTCGAGTACTTCCATCATGGTACAATGGACAAAAGTACCCTCGGCTGAGCACTATCAGCTGATGGTGATCTCTCAAGGAACCGGACAAGTGTGGAACCAAACCTACACCAACCAATCCGCTGTGGTGGGAAACCTGCAGCCCTCCACCAACTTTGACTGCTACATCACCACAGTAAACAACGCCGGGATGGGGAGCAAAAGCAAAGTTCGGACCATCACGACCTGTGAGTGAATACTTAAGTCCTTTATGTAAAATGTGGCTCAACATACGAATGTATTATTAAATATGAAATTTCATGATTTCATTTCATTTCATGATTAAATATGAAATTTCATGATAGTATCAGCTACATAAAGTGCCAAAAATATTCATGTTGTTGGAGGGATTTGCTACAGATATAAAATTTTCCTTAAGATATTTGTCTTGAATTCAGTTTGTGCTACAGGCTATAGTAAATACAGATGTTTACCCTCAAATGGTAGAAGTTTTCCTGAAAGGGAATCATAATCTGTATTACAAACAAACCATATTTCAGTAGATCCTTATATCGGAAAGTTACACTACATCCCTTCATAAAGTGTTTTAAAACAACTCTCAAAGCTTCTCTTATCTCACGTCTTTCTTTCCATCTCATAACAGCAAGGGGAACTAAGTTTGTGTTTAAAACGGTCTGAAAAAGATGATATATACAAAAACAAAGTAGTATTGTCCAAGTTATCCTTGTCACTTCAGCGTGACAGTAATGCCTTATAAACTGAATTGTATTATGGAAAAAAAACAGTTTCAGATGCATTCAGAGATCCAAACATCTCATATAAAGAAGAAACTTCTAGTAAACAAGAAAATATGTATTTTTTGTCTATGTTTAATCGACAGGTCAACATAGTTGCACAATATGAGTTTATAAACTGAAAAGTGAAAGTATTAAATTCTTGAGATTGAAGAGGCTTATTTTAGTGATATTTATGTAATATACTGAATGATTTATCCTCTAACTGAGTCTTTATGTCTGTCTGCAGTGGTGAATCCTCCGCCGGGCGTCACAGCGTCACAGACCGGCCTTGGCACGGCGAGGGTAACATGGCAGCCGGTAGAAGACGTTCTGCTGTACCGAGTTGCTCTCCAAGACATTGATGAACCCAACAGCCCGCCGTCTGTGTACAACGTCACAGACACCAAGCTCGATGTTCAAGGCATCCTCCCATGCTCCACCTATCTCATATCCGTGTCCTCTTTTAACAAGTTCCTGGTGCCGAGCGAGCCCACAGACTACACGTACACCACCAACAGTGAGTCGCCACAGCCAAACTAATATCAATAACTCGTTGATTAGGATCTAGGTCAGCTTTTCTCTCTGAGGCGTTCCTTTCAGACATGCAGAATGTGATCCTCAGGGGGAAAATGATTCAGATGCCCTGACAACCTACTTGTGGGTCTGTCACATAAACATGCACCATCTTAGGTTGATACCTTTAAAACCAAACTGAATCTTCTTTTATTTTAAAACATTTGTAGCTAGATTCAACCATATTTTGTTGAGACACTTTTGTGCCATCCACTAGTTTACATTAGACAGTCTCTAACAGCAGCAAGGCCTTCAGGGTCCACGGATCTCTCAAGGAAGTTATATAGTATATTATCATTTAGCTGAGTGGTCACATTTAAATTAAATAAGATTGGGCCTAAAACTGAACCTTGCGGTACACCACCGGTAATGTAAGTGGTGGAACACGAGTAATAATTAGTACCAAGTGGAGATAATGAGTGCTAAGCAGATTAATCTGTCACTCTGCAAAAATAATTATTGTTGTAGTTGTTCAACTTAATAACAGTGAGTGATCATACCAGCAGTATTTCTTTCTGACATAGTGTTAGTATAAAGTCTGTCTACAACTTTTGGCTCTCCAAGTTTTTATGTACCCTAACAAAAAAAAAAGACAATTCTCCTTTGTACTTTATTTCCTGCAGAGCTGACTCCAGTTTCGTCAGTGTCAGTGGACTACACCTGCACCAGTAACTCTGCAGAGGTGCACTGGACGACTGTGTTTGGCGCCGACTCCTACAAAGCGATAGCAGTGGGCGAAAACGGCACCGAGCTGATGTGCACCAGCCAGGGAACCAGCTGCCAGATAAACGCACTGAGCTGTGGCCAGAGCTACGTGGTGCATGTAACACCAACATCAGAGAGCTGCACGAACATGATGAACACCACCACGGCCACTTTCCAGACAGGTGAGACACGTTGTGCAGATTTTGTGCAAGCTGTGTAGATTGGGCTTGAGTCTCACTGTCTACTGCTGCTGGTCATTTGTCTTTAACACCAACCAGCACTCACAAGGTTTATTTACCTAATAGTATACCACGGTTTTCTTTAAATGGAGGATTCTTTAAATGTTGTCTAGAAGCGGCATCGCTAGCCTGGTCCGTGTTGCAGTGTAGGCGAAGCAACCGCTTGCAAAACATTATGAATGGGGGTGAACTTCCAGGTCGTCTGTAGTTGGTGATTGTGGCGGCAGCAATTGCAATCTGGTATATTAGTTGCACTGGTAAATAGGACGTAGCCCACATTTTAGATGGAATAAAAGGTCTCAAAAGTCCGTCTTATACAAAAAATCAACATATTATTTACTGCCATTTATCTTTGAATTTTGTATAGCCATCAAATGAACTGCAATTGAAAGACACACTGGGAGCAAAACCTTTTGCACTGGCCAATAGCACAGATAGTATATATGATGAACAATGCATAACCCCAATACATCTTGGATCAATTTTTCCAAAACTATACAAGTTCAAATTCAGAACCAAATTGTTGTTTGTTCAGTTGAGGGTCCAATATTTGAAAGTGTTTATCCTTGGCATGTTCAAGACTTCCAAACAAGATTATGGAAATAAAACCAGTTATCATGCTGTCAAACAGACTGGGACCAAACATAGAAACATTACATTCAAATCCAGAAAGTTGTAAAAAAATTGTAGTTGTCACATGAATAAGAAAATGGTAAATATAACCAGCAGAGGTAGATACCCTGAAAACTCTTTAAAAGGTCCCAAATTCCCATAGTGCAACTCTATAGCTTTTTCATTAACAACCCCCCCCCCCATTGCCTAACATCTTTTAAACTCCTTGTTGTTTGTAGCTTTCTGTTTTTTTTAAATGTCCGTCACTCTGAATCATCAAGGTTATTTTTTAGACTTTGAAAGCACCTCCAGAGCCAATTGGGAAGGTGCTCCGAACTCAACAGAGCATCTTGCGCAGATTAAACCCAAGATGCATTGCACTTCCTCTTTTTTGGAGAACTGCATAGGCAAAAAAAAAAAATAGTAAACTGCTGCATCTCTTATTTGGTTGCTGGGACACCACTAAGGTTGCTGCGGTAACCACAAAAATTGATCACCTCGGTATAAACAATCCAAAAGCGGAGAATGGAGGCAACCGTCAAACTGCACATGAAGTCACCTCACCCCACCCCATTTCAGAAGGAAACAATGGCAACTGGTACCTAAACTGAATGCTACTTTTCCCCTTAGGGAACATTTTCTCTTTCAGCCAAATGAAAAAAGAGAACCGGATCATTTTGATGAGGCAATTTATTAAATCTGAGCCAAAAAGATCCCTGCAAAACTAGGAAACACTCAATTTCATGTCAACTGGCTTTAAATAAATCTAACTTGACAATCAAAATCACTCATGACATCAGCATCATTCATCTCTGTGTTGTCAAGATTTAAGAGCATTCTTGCCAAAACTGAGGCGCATCTATAGGGTGTATTAGCAGTGAATGAATGCTAACTCTTGATGAGGATTCATTTCTGAAATAAACAGAAAAGACACCTTAATGCAAAAAATGCATCCTGGTTGACCAGTGCCTAACCCTTTAATGTTAAATTATAGAAGACTTCCCTTTTAAATAAGACCCCATGGAAGGATTTCTGTTTGTGTTGTACAATGACACGCAATGGTTAATTTACACTGGAAGGTTTTTTATTTGAGGTTTATCTTCAAATTGATCTCTTGGCTCACACAGAATCAGGCCTGTGATTCTTTTTAAAAGCAAAATGCCAACTAGAAAGAGACGTGAATTAATGCTTAATACTGGTGGATCAATGCCAGTTAACCAAGGTTTTAGAAACCACCCGGTGATGAAATGAACTTCCAAACTCCATTGATCTGCAGAGTCCCTCTGCACCTTTAAGAAAAAGCTAAAGACCCAGCTCTTTCATGAATACCTACTAACTTAATGATGATGGTCTCCATATCATTGATGATGATGATGGTAATGACGATGGTTTTGTTTGATAACGACGACTTATAAGATGGTTTCTATACTGATTAGAGCTCTCAAGAACTGCCCTCAATGCTGTGCTTTGCCTCTGGTCACTTCATGTCAGCACCTGTGTGTCCAATCAGACTCAAAGCTGATCGTTTGCTCTTACTGACATTGTTCCCTTTTTTTCTAGATCCTTGCTTGTGTTGTTCTTACTCTCTGATGTACGTCGCTTTGGATAAAAGCGTCTGCTAAGTGAATTGTAGAATTGTGTTGTACAGTAAGTCTGAAAAAAATCAACTTGGTCGAAGGTCTGAATGGAAAACTCATACCGAACCATTTTTCTAAACAAAGGTCCAAACTGGATTATAAATTTAACAAAGAGAACAGACCACCAGTTTATCCGTGCCCATCACCTGACAGAGTTGGTTCCATGTCTGTTTAGATGTTTGCCTTTTACAACTCCACCCTGCACATCTATTTAACCGAGGCAGATAATCCTTTCATCTCATGTGTCACCCTATTCTCTTAAGACTTTGGTTGAGATTTTCTGTCCAACCCAAATCCCTGGGGGACACCTTGGCTGACGTGACTTGGATGATTCTGAATATGACTTTATGACAAGTTTTTCTTTCATGTCAAGTGTATAACCATTTAATACTTCAGGGAACACATTAAAACACCCAATCTTGTGACATAACACCTTTTTGACAAAGCCTTAAGGTGTAATAAAAAGCTACCTGTGTCATTTTCACGTTGTTTTGATTCTGCCTTGTAATAATACAGCTGTTATCGGCCTTGAATGGCCTTCGATGGCCATTATTTAGTACTGATAGCTTTTCTGATTTTCTTTCATATCACTCTAAAATGAGAATTACTTTCAAGATGACACGGTGATTGTACTCCCAACATAATATTTTGTTTCTCTAAAGATCATTTAGTAATCATTTTTTAAAGACAGAGTCATAATTTAGTCTTTGCAAATCTTCTGTAGGCTAAAGTTTACTTTTTCTAAAACCTTGAATCTCTTTGTTTGTACATCAGGATAAGAATTAGAGAAGGTCATATCAGAAGTCATTTGGGGATAGCTGTTTTTCAACTCTGTTTGGTTCGGTTTTGAAATACAGTGCATCACTAGGTGTCTACCTTTAAAAAAACTGGGTCTCCTATTGAGCTCCTCTGTCTCTATCATATTGTGTTGTGTTCAGGCTGCTAAGAATAAGCCTGTGTTTGTGCTTAACCTGAAACCTCGCACAGTGAAAAGCAACACTGGAGTGTAATCTTGGGTATCAGGGCGTTTTAACCTGAAAAGGGATTTGAGATCACTGCCCTTTGATGTTGATATTTAACTCCATGTTGAAAGCCTCTCTTGTCGTTTAACATGCCATCTATCTATCTATCTATCTATCTATCTATCTATCTATCTATCTGTCTGTTGAATCTAGCTAGCTAATTAACGCTCCTAATTAGCGCCCCCTGTGGACACACCAGTATCTTGTTGTTGATGGTTCACTTGTGAAACTTATAAGGAGGAATAGGAGTTACTTCAGTCGCTTTTGTGGCCACCTAAGAGCTCCTCACAGGAGCTTTAAATTGGCTAGCTAGGTAGGTAACTAGCTTTGATGGGATTACTGCTGTAGAGGGCATTAAATGAAACTTGCTAAAATAAACAATATTCATTGTCTATGTTTTTCAGTTCCTTGTCCTCCTAAGAACCTGGATTTGGTTCGAGATTGTGCCAGTGAAGTCATCATTTTTTCCTGGGAGCACACAAACAACACGGACCACTACATGGCCAAGGCCGTGGACTCTCAGGTAGGCCTACAACATTTAGGACTAAATGTTTGCAGTGTGAAATTATCTACAGAAAACATTAACAATCTTTTTGCTGATCATTTGATGAACAAAACGTTGGTACCACTTGCTTGCCTGTAGTAAATGTAATAGCCTACTTCAGCGAGTAAACATCCTAACCCTAACCCGAATTTGTCTGAATGATTGGGGGACTTGCTCCGTGCAATTGAAGCATGACCTTGCAGATTCACAGAGATACATATTTCAGGTTTTTTGCTGAACTTGACAGTCAGATCGCTCAATATAGCTTCATCTTATATTTATTATATTTTACATACTTATTTGAGAGTGGTTGTGATTTAGTGTTCATATTCATTTTTTTTGAAATTCTTTATTTCCCAGGGAGGGGTCCAGGAGTGTCTGACTGAAGACAACTCCTGTTATTTCACACACACAGTCTGTGGACGTCACTATTCCTTCACAGTTTATGCCATCAAAGGGCAGTGCAGAAGCCAGATAAGCTCGACAGTTGACATCCGCACAGGTATGACACCTTGCAGTAGATAAACACTGATGCATATAACTTTGTTTAAGAAAAACATCATTTTATGTAACTTATAAACTTCCCCTTTTCTAATATTCTGGTTTGATAAAACGTTTGTATTCAAAGAATAGGATGTGAGATGGAGAAATCTGTAATCAGATTTGATTTCAGTTTTAACCAACGATCATTGGTTTCATTTTTAAAAATTATTTAACATCCATAATTTGAAGTTCAGAGATTGCTCGTGCGTTGCTGTATTTATCTCTGATACAAGTATTCAATATTAATGAGCACCCTCTGGTCAAAGCTCTGATCCAGCTGCTTAATATCAACCCTGACAATAACACACATTTCTGTCCTCTTCTACAATTCTGTTTTACTCCCCTTCTTGCTTACGATGTTTAATCATTACTCATATTAAGAGCAAGTCAAAATGTTAAAAGATAATAAGATGCATCGGGTCCCTTTTCCTGTTCCCAGCGCCCTGTATTCCTCAGAACCTGCGGACCGCAGCAGACTGCAGTGCAGACGTTCTGCTCAGTGTGTGGGACCTGGCTGAGGGGGCGCTCCGCTACACTGTGGAGGCCTATGGCAACAGGGGAACCAACAGCCAGTACAACTGCAGCTCTATGTCCAACAGCTGCGCCATACAAGGCTTACATTGTGGAGAGTACCTGAGCGTCTACATCACAGCTTTCGATGACGAATGTGCCAGCCCGAGGACGCTGGGGCCTGTGGCTGAGACAAGTGAGAAGAACCTATCACTTCTTTATAATATGGTGTTAAAAGCAGAGTACTTCTTTTTCATAACATGTGAGCATTAAGTTAATATTTGAATGCACCTGCCTGGAAGAACAGTACTGTACAGACAGAAGTATCATCATTAAACGTTTGACCTATGAACAAGTAATCATCTTTACTTTTAGGTTTATATCGCATTAAAGAGAAAAGAGTTCGAGGTATCAATCAACTAAAGTTGAGAAAGTGGTCTCAAATCAGCTTCTAAATTATTTATCACTAAATAAGCTATTTGAGCCATTTCAGTCTGCTTTTCGGGAATGATTTGCTACTATCTTTAGATTCAGACTCAACCAGTGTTTTATGTTATTGGCACAGGGTTCCACAGGGGTCTGTACTGGGCCCATTGCTGTTTTCACTTTACCTATCCCCACTGGTTCAGATATTGCGTTCTTTTGGGATTGCTTTTCATCGTAATGCCGACGATTTGCAGCTGTACATGCCATTAGGTGTAGGAAGTAAGTACGATACAGCTAAACTTGAGGCCTGTCTTGCAGCTGTTAAGAGCTGGACATGAGGCAGACTTGTTCTGTTGAGATTTTTCTCACGATTGATGTTTTTCCTGTATTTTAACTGTATTGCTTTGTACAGCACTTGGATTTAAAGCGCTTTAAATTATTATTATTATTATTATTATTATTATTATTATTAGGTTATTATAAATAATATTAATAATAATAATCAGTTATAATAGTGGTTTTCGGTGTCATCCTCTGGATAGAATGGAAACCTCGACTCTAATCACAAGCAGCTGTGAGAAAGTTTCAAGATAAAATTCAACTTCATGTTGATTTCCCTCCTTCCTCTAGTCCCCTGCGCTCCTCAGAATGTAACAGCGGTGAAGGAGTGTGGAGCCGACGCCATCACAGTGACCTGGATTGGTAGCAGTGCGATTTTCTACGTGGCCTCCGCCAAGGACAGCGACGGCAACATTCACAGCTGCAACTCCTTTGACATGATGTGTAAGATCGAAGGCCTGCAGTGCGGCACCAACTACACGGCTAACGTCATCGCCACCAACTTAATCTGCAACAGCACTGAGAGCGAGACGGTCGCCATAGAGACAGGTACTCGGCTTGATTTTGGGTTATTTCATTGTGTCTTGTTAGTTATGTGGGGACATGACGCGTCAATCTGAATTTCAAATTGCATCTTGAATCTATTATATATTGAATTAGTTAACATTAGACAATAACTAAATAATATGTTGATGTCTTTGAGTTAACTGTTTTTTTACCTTCCAGCCGCTTGCCCACCGGATCAGGTCACCGCCTCTCTGGACTGTGCAGCCAATGAGGCTCTGGTATCGTGGAACGGCCAGCCCAGAATCAACTCCTACACCGCCACCATCGTGGATGAACAGCAACGACTTCTTAGCTGCAGCTCGACCAACACCAGCTGCAGGATACCTGACCTAAAATGTGGCCAGCTGTACACGGTCACTGTCGGCTACCACGACGGCATATGTCCCAGCATGCCCTCTGAGGCCATCTACATGGAGTCTGGTGCGAAAAAACCCTGTGACTCTGTCCTGCTTTTTTACATTACAAAAAGAACATATGTTGTTAAGCCATAAAATATAGCCCCACCCATCTGTACACATTTTTTATGAAATATTCTTTTTTTAGTTTTTGATCAATCAGACCTGTGAGATTCACTGTTTGTATAATTTGCTAACCTAACAAAGCAGTACAACATTATAACAGGCTTTACTTCCTCTCCTCTCTCTCTCGGTCCAGTTCCTTGCGGACCCAGTGCGAAGGCCGACTTAGACTGTCGGTCAGGAGAACTGACCATCGGCTGGAACGCGTCGAGTAAAGCAGAAGGCTATATGACTGAAATCACAAGTAGTGTCAAGAAAATGACCTACAACACCACAGAGCACGTGTTGAAGGTGGACACGCTGGAGTGTGGACTGGATTACACGGTGAAAGTGATGTCCTTTAACAGCACGTGTGTCAGCCATCCCTCTGTACTTCCTGTCGGGAAAGGTGAGGGAGAACTGTGACTAATTTAGCACAGAACGTGTTAGCTATGTGTCAGATAGGTTGGAAAAGATGCATATTTTCTCTGTGCTGTATAGCAGCGTTTCCCAAACTTAAGATTGCCGTGGCCCGTTTTGAAATACAAAATTACTCTGGGGCCATTATACATTTTCTTTTATGACTACAGCTATAACTTTCAGTTAGGGTAAATATTGGACATTACATCATGATATTATGACAAGCAGACACAAAAGTTTACTAAACATTATGTCCATGAATAGTCATGACACGCCTTACTAATCACTTAAAGTGTTGACTCATGGTGAATCATCATTATTGTGATATTTCTTGATTTTTAAAATTGTCGAGGGCCTCCTGCATTACCCACACGGCCCACCAGGGGGACACGGCCCACACTTTGGGAAGCACTGCTGTATAGCATTCTTATTTAAGATGATTACCTATCAGGTTTTTCTCTCCCTCAGCTCCATGTGTCCCCACTAATGTGACGGCAGACAGAATCTGTGGCCAGAGTTTTGTAGAAGTAACTTGGCAAGTGAGCATGGGCGCTCTTTCCTACCAAGCTGCCGCGGTTGACCAGAATGGGCGGAGCTTGCTATGCTCCTCTACTGGGATGTCCTGCAGGTTGGAGGGTCTGATGTGCAGCCAGGTTTATAGTGTCGGGGTGGCTGCTCTAAACCACAACTGCAGCAGTAATTTGAGCTCTCCAGAGACACTACAGACCGGTAAAGATGATCAGTAATCAAATCAGTATCTGAGAGTTTGTATTTTCATTTTCTTACCATCTGTCTCTCTCTTCTTATTCTGCAGCGCCTTGCCCTCCGTCTCAGCTCAATGCATCTGTGAACTGTGCCAATGACTCTGCCGTGTTAACCTGGAGCAGCAGCCCCAATGCAGTGTCCTACATCGGGAAGGCGGTGAGCACAGCGGACACAACGTGACATGCGACGCAGGGATGAACCTCGGTTGCCAGTTGTTTGGCCTGCACTGTGGGGTGACGTATAACTTCACTGTGTCAGCGTCGGATGGCGACTGTCAGAGTCCCGACAGCGAGCCCGTCACACTTACAACCGGTAAATTAAGCAACATCTCAGATTTTTTCCCTATTGCTTCATTCTCTGCTCCTGTTATCATTTTTCTCTTTCTTTTCTTCTTTTCTTTTTGTAAAACTAAGATTTACTCTTTGTTGTCCTAGCTGTTCCTGTTTCAATCATCTCCTTTTTCCTTTTCCTGGATCCCAAATCACACATTTCCTCATCCTCCGCCTCCTCCTTATACAACACATGCATTGTTTACTCATCATGAATGGATAGACAGTTTATCACAATTGGACATAACCTCTGCTTTTAAAAGAGAAATCAAGTCCCATAAACCTGCATTCTTCCTAATGGCCACTAGGAGGAAACACGACATGTTCTGTATTTACTCCTGTTTGCTGTGAAGCTCTTCTGCCCCCTAGTGGTCACAAAACAAAAAATGTTTTTAAACATTCCAGCACAACTTATTTTCTCATATTTGTAACTGAAGTTTCCCTGAGTCTGACTCTGTGCCTCCTGCATCAGCTCCATGTGCTGTCCAGAGCGTGCTCAACACCCTGAACTGTAGCGACAACATTCTGACTGTCAGCTGGATGCCTGGATCCATGCCAACGTACTACAAAGCCACCGCAGTGGCCAGAGATGGGACTACACTTGAATGCATGACAGAGGGGACGAGATGCACGATCCCTCTTTTACAGTGTGGACAGCAGTACAATGTGACCGTCAGAGCCATGAGCAAAACTTGTGACGGACACAGTGGCGTCCCAGAAATAGTCAATTCTGGTAAGTGTGACCCCACAGAGCGGTGTGTTTAATACAGTCATTAAAACAAAGTAAAGGAGATGTTTCTCTGACTTTTCCTGCCTCCTCATGAGCCTCTTCAATGTCCACTTTATTTCTCTTTTAGTTCCTTGTGTTCCCGAGCAAGTCGCCGGCTATGTGGACTGTTCCACTAACACGTTGCAGGCGTCCTGGGATGCAGCAGCTGGTGCTTCGTCCTATGTCTCCATGTTGACGGGAGCAGGAGGTTTCTCTTCCTCGAGCGCTTCAGACGATGAACGTTTCCTCTTTTCGGGCCTGCAGTGTGCTCAGACATACATGCTGAGTGTGAAGGCTCTAAACGACAGGTGTAACAGCTCCGCGAGTGCCGTGATCTCAGCCATGACGGGTAAATCTTCATTTAAGTAATGAGGAAATCTGAGCCTTTTGTTTGGGGCATTTGGAAATATATTACAGAAATCTCTATGTTTTTATTATTGGTCAAAAAATCATCCCAAGAAAGACACAATAAAAACAATGAATAGATGATAATGTGTATTTTCCATCTGCACAAATACTTCTTCATCTTTTTTTTACTTGGATCATTTTTAATAAAACGAAACGGTATTTCACTGATACAAATTTTCTGTACCCTCAAAAAAAAACATTTAAAAAACATTTATTGAAAATTGCAGTGACTTAAAATGACCTTTCAAAATTATCGTATAGGATTATTTTAAAACTGTTTTTAAAGAACAACGCAGCTTTGGATTTGTTGTAAAATATTCTGAAAATAATCAAATGGCTTTTATTCAGTGAACTTTTTTTTTAATCAACAATGATCCATGTTTCAAACTTTTACAACTCAGTGGCTCTGAAAATAATATATTTTTATTCCTAAACTCTGTTTTGTTGATGTTCATAAGGCTTTGAAAGATCTGTGTTTGATCAAATGGCATTTTAGCTTTCAGGGTGAATCTGTTTTTAGACTTTCTGCTCGTAGAATCTGAGATATTTTTTTTTTTAACTTAGTTTTTATTCATTTTTCTCATCAACAACAGTACAACATGAAAAATATTTCTTTTTTTTTCCTTTTTCCAGCTGTATAGTTACATTTGGATATTAAGCCAGCAGAAATAGATTACAAAAGTAAAATAAAAACCAAAATGTCCACTCCAAAGAATTTACAGATACACAATAATACACATAAACAAACAAGTACATAAATAAATGTTCATTAAAGTAGAGGAGAAATGAAAATCATATATAAAAGTTGTCATCATAAAGAAATAAATTCTAATCCACTCAAAGATATCATGTGTCAAAGTACAGGTGCGAAGTCAAACCCCAGGGAAAAATGGTGATCTTGGTCTGCGCCCAAATTAAGCATCACTCTCTATTGCATTAGTAAAGCCAGTACAGGTCTCCATCTTGTTGTGAACGTTTCTTTTTGGAGTCTCAATTGGTATGTCATTTTTTCCATTTGAGAATCTGAGATTTTGAAGACATTTGTAGCCAAATATTTGAAGGTTCATATGCACTTTATTGATTGGCGATATATCCCATGTTTTAGCAAAAATTGTCAGCATTGAGCTTAAACCAAAGTAGGGTTGATCCTGCAGTCTGAGTAACTATACGTGTATGTTCACTGATCAAAATAAACAAAAGATAATTTATTATATGGAATTATAGTCATAACGCTTTTTATCTCCCCTCCCTCCAGCACCCTGTGACCCTACCAACGTGGCCGCAGCCCTGAACTGCTCCTCTGGTGTAGTAACAGTGACTTGGGGGCCGAGTGCTGGAGCGAGTTATTACACGGTCGTCGCTGAGGCCGAAGGGCACGTCGATTCCTGCAACTCCACCGGTGTTTTCTGTGAGCTGACCCAGCTGCAGTGTGGGGAGCACTACAATGTGACTGTCCTGGCCGGAGACGGAAAATGCAACAGCTCCGTACTCGCCAAAACCAACATAACAACAGGTAAAGGAAATTTCATTAAAATACTGGAATCAGCTGAAATATATCTATATTTTTTTTGAAGTGAAACAATATGCCAATCTTCTAAAAAGAGTTAAACTATAAAGGATATGTCCCAAATGGCCCTACTTATGTAATGTACTAAATCATCTTGTTTTTTATTTAAAAACAAAACTGATCTTCTGAAATGTAGAGGATAGTGATGAATGGTTCTGTGTGTGTGAGGAGAGGAGGTTTCATGCTCTAAACCTCACATTGAATATTCCCTAATGATAAAACCTGTCCCCCTCTTTCCCTTGCCCAGCCCCCTGTGCTCCAGTGATCTTACACCACTCCCTCGACTGTGTCTCAAACCACGCCGTTGTCTCCTGGATGGAGGATGAGGATGCCATGAGCGTCACCGTCAACGCCACCTCCGGCCTCGGACACTCGACGTCCTGCAGCTCGTCCACCAACGGCAGCTGTGTCCTGGATTACCTCATGTGTGGACACACCTACACCGTCCAAGCTGTGGCAAAGGGATACCAGTGTTTGAGCAAACCCAGCACCACTTTTCAGATTGTCACATGTAAGTTATATTTTCGTTTTTTGTAAATTAAAAGTATTTTTCTTTTTTGGGTGCTGTATTATTCTTAAATTTATGTTGGGAGGGCGGATACATTACATTTACACGTTTTTTCTTGACATTTTGAAGTAATTTCCCTCTGATAATCGTGGGATTAAAAAAATACAGGTGTAATTGTTCTAATATCTGTAATTCTGACTGTTTCTCCACTCTCGCCCAGCACCCTGTACCCCTGAAAACGTGGAGTTCAGATACTCCTGTGAGACCGGCATCGCCTTCCTGAGCTGGGACGAGACTCTGGGAAGAAAGAGTTTCTACATCAACGTCTACTCTGGAGACCACATGGCGTCCTACAGCACCAGCCAGACGCACTTATCCATACCCGCGCTGCCCTGTGGTAAAATGTTTCACGTGGAGGTGACAGCTGTGGCTGACCACTGTAACAGCAGCTCGCCAGGTGTAACTCAAATACAGACAGGTGAGAGGGAAATGACTTGGTGATTGGAAGAAATGCATGTGTGAATGTTTTCCTCAGAGTTTCTGTGTTTTTTTTACTCTAAACTTTTAACCAATAAGATTTATTTACAAGGTTTATTTACTGAACCTCAAAATGTCTGTGTTTGTATATTTTGCATTGAAAAAGCGCTTAAAGAGTGTGTAATAGATTTGTAAATAATTCATTTCATCAATAATCATTGCATGCTAACAGTGTTGGTCTTGTGTTCCCATCAGCCCCCTGTTCTCCCATGAACGTCAGCGCCTCCCTGGTGTGTGAAAACAACACGGCCACGGTGAGCTGGGATCAAAGCGCCTATGCGGATTCCTACAAAGTCGTGGCGAACAGCAGAGACGGTGATGTCAAACAGTGCACCACAAACAGCACAAGTTGTAACATACCCAACATGCACTGCGCCCAGACCTACATAATCATGGTCACGCCTTTCTCGGATGTCTGCAAGGGCTTCGACAGCTACCCAATCAATTACATCGCAGGTGAGGGGAAACTTTGAAAATGGGCCTTTATCCACTTTTGACAAGGTATACACATCGGGATTAAACTCAGTTATAGACTCAATATTATCACTTTTATTTTCTTTAAGAACACAAAAAATAATAAATAAAAATAGTTGTTTGCTCCTCATTTTTTTAAATAATGGATGTTGCTGTAATTCCTCTGGTTGCCACTAGGGGCTGGCTGTAGACCAATAGATGTCAGTTGTGTGTCTTGGTAGGGAATCTTTCAATTACTATATTTAATTAAGGGGGTATTATGTTCTATAAAACATTAAAAACCAGTGGAAACCCAAATCCACAATAGCTATCTACTCAAGTGTCTTGTGTACATGTTTGTTAGTATTTTAAAAGGCAGTGATTTGTTTTTGTTTTTCATGCAAAGTGGAAACAAAGTCAACCAGGTTTGTGTTAACTTTCCTGATATAAAGTTTGAATTTGGTGTGGTAAATCTTATATTATGAAAATTATGGAAAAAAAATTGCAAACCAATCAAAAAAATAGAAACACTGTTTTTCAGTTACTTGTCCCAGTTTTCAATTTTCGGCTACAGGACTCAGTCTTAAGCTAACCCTATGAAGCCATGAT